CCCGGGCTGGAGTGGGCGGCGGCGGCGGCGGCGGCGGCACGCGGGGCCGGAGTTGGGAGGAAACTTTTGCGCTGACTCCCAACTCCTCCGACGCGCACAGCGCCGGGGCCCCAGCCCGCCTGGGCCCGGCTCTTAAAGGGGCCGCGGCGCTGCCCCGGTCGCAAGGCGCAGGGCGGAGGGAAGCAGGGTCAGTGCGGGGGCGGTAACTGGAGCGCACTAGGTCCTCTCCCTCCCACAGACGTCCACACGAAGCTCTGGAGAATTGTAACGGGACCTGTGAGCTACCACCGGGGAATTGAAACCGGATCTCATAAAGCACACTTGGAATTGGTAGGAAATGAGGGAGTTGGAGCAAGGTTCAAGGAAAGTCCAGGAGCAGGTGTTTCTTGCCACGCGCTCCAAAGTGGCGGCTTGCAGGTATTGAGAGGCAGGGATGGCCACAGGGGTGTGGAGAACTTGTCTTGAGTAAAGCCTTTGCAGCCACCTCTGGGAGCCCCCAGAAAGCTGAGCTGAAGGGAAGTTTGGGAACACTGCGGGTGGAGCCATTCTTTTAACAGTGGAGGATACTGGGTGTTCCACCAAAGATCACGCCCCAAGTTCAAATATGATAGCTTGTGTTTACACATTTCCTTTCGAAAGGTGACTCCCAATGTGTATTTGACTCATGATTTCACAGGTGTGTATCCTACAGATGAACTCGAGGTACAGGGGTTGGAGTCAACATTTGTATCTGTAGTTCTTACATAAATTGAGCTGGACGGAAAAAAAAAACACTTTTCCATTTTGTGCATCAAAGGGGAACTTGGGCTGTTTGGAGAGAATTTTCCTCACATGTTGTAGGTCCCTGGCTTTGATCCCAGCACCCAGGATTCAAATACCCAAATAGATTGTTGCTCAGAGACTGAGCAGGTCGTGAAGTTGGTTATGTTGAAAAAAAGGCAGGCCTTCCTAACTAAATTTTCCCATGTCTCCAGGCAGTTTTCTGAGCAATTCAGTCCATCCAATAAGATTCCCAGAGGATTCTTCCTTTCTCTACAGGAGTTGTTCCTATAACAACTTAAATTGAGCTTGAGTTGCCTAAGATGATATGGATGATGCACTATCTTAAATTAATGAATTTCAAAGTTCTAATCAATTTCAGCTCATTCATACATGTAAGGTCCATGGCTACAAAGAGTATCATGTAAACCTAGACAATGTGAAAAAATATATACATTACACAGTATAGTTTGGTTACAAATCCAATACAGGCTGATTTAAGTAAGTCAAAGATAGAATCAATTTCCTCATAAAAATTGAAGGATCCAGAGAGCAGGCCTTTGAGGAAGGGCTTGGAGCAACATCACAAAGTGTATCTTCAGGGGCCATCTTTCTCCTCCTGTTGGAGGTATTGCTAATGTCTCCATTCACAGGTGGGCCCTCCCAAAAGGAGCTCTTGTGTCCTTCTATTGGGAATGAGGAACAGAGACCAAGATCCGGGTTAGGTCTCGTTCTTAGAAATTTTAGAGTCTCTTTTAGAATCGGAATGTAACTCTGGAGTCTCTACAGGAATTGCTCCTCTGTATCTTCCACACGAAGCAGTAAAATGAAGTCAAGCAAATACTAAGGGCGGTCATTAATGGGCGACCCTTGGTTTAGCGCTGGGTCTCATGTGGATGTGTAGCAAGGTACAGAGCAGATTCTCAGCTGATGAAACATTCCCATGCTGCCATGCTTTGTGCTGCTTTCACAGGTGCTCCAAACTGCTCTTCTGCTCAGGCTTTGGATAGCTTTTGCTCCTCTTCAGGACAAAACTTCTTTGCAGCCCAGTTTAAGCCTTCCTCTGTTACTCAGAGCCTCCATCTAATGTCCTGGCTTTGAGAGGCCCCAGGTGAACCACAAAGACACTTAGGTCACCCCATCCCTTGTACAGTGAGATTAGAATCAGGTTTTATGGAATGCTGCAGAGTTCGTGCCTCTATGAAGATGCAGCTAGGCACTGGTGTGAACACTGCCTGCATACCATCCAGTGAACTTTCATGACCCCACGTCAGTAATTGTGAAGAGTTTAGTGTTCATGTTTATTAAATAGCTATGTTTAATTTGCCTTTCAGCCTCATCACAGCACACATAGAAACAATTTATCATATATTAAGAAGTGATATAAAAGGACACAGTTGCAACACAATCATCCATGCCCAGCAAATTCCTAAATCAATATTTCATGCCCCATGGGACTTCCTGGGCAGAAGACAATAAATAATTTGATTTGATTGAGTAACTCTGGAGGAGTCTAGGCCTGGGTTCTATTTTCTTGTTTTGCTTGCTAGATGAATTAGCATTGCCTGTGATGTGATATTTTCCCATTTGTTATCTAACAGTTTAGCAGGCAATCACACTGGCCAGTATTATTAAACTGCCATGCCTTTCTAAAGTCTAACTGAAATGTCAGGTACCGTAAGGTGTTCATTGACTAACCAATGATAATTGCTAAAGTGTAGCTGACCAGTAATCCATTCTAATGTTTTTACTATTAAGACAGAACTTACTTTTAGTTTTCAAGGAATTATTTATTGTCCTCTGACCTCCATATGCACACCTTGACACTCAAACACACACAAATACACAAGCACATACAAATGAATAAATAGATGTTTTAAAATGAATTATAATTTCAAAGACCCAAAAAATGAATTATATAGATTTATGGGATACCAGGTAATGTTTTGACGCAGGTATACATTGTGTAATGCTCAAATCAAAGTGAGCATATTTTTCTCAAACATTTATCATTTCTTTGTGATAGGAACATTTAATATCCTTTATTCTAGTTTTTGGTTTTATGAAGTACAATATTGTTACTGACAGTCACCGCTACTATGCAGAGAACATCAGAACTTAGTTTCCTTGTCAAACTATAACTTAGTCCTGTTGTCAAACCTTCTGCCGCTCCTCACTTTCTCAGTGCTCCTCAGCCTTTGGCAACCACTATTACATTCTCAGCTCCTTGAAATCATTGTTTTATATTCACATGTGAGGGAAATCATGTGGGCTTTGTCTTTCTGTGCCCAGCGCATTCCATTTCAAATCCATCCATGCTGTCACAAATAACAAGATTTCATTCTTCTGTGGCTGAATGGTATTCATATAATGATAAAGAAATACGGCATGGATCCTACAGTTGATGGACATGGGTTATTTCCTGTCTTTACTGTGGTGAACAATGCTGCAGTATACAGAGGAGTATACATATTGATTTCATATCCTTTGAATATTTACCCAGTAGGGTGATTGCTGGGTCATATGAAAATTGCACTTTTAATTTTTTGGTTTTTTTGTTTTTTTTTCGGAGCCTCCATACTATTTTCTGTAAGGCTAACCTATTTTCATTCCCCCCAGTAGTATACAGGGGTTCCCTTTTCCTCAGCTCCTCGCTAGCACTTGTATCTTTTGTGTTTTTAATGGTAATCATTCTCGCTAAAATGAGGTGTGATGTTCCGTTCTGGTTAGGTTTGCATTACCCTGGCAATTAGTGATGCTCAATTTTTTTTCAAATACTTCTTGAATATTTGTATATATTCTCTTGAGAAATGTCTATTTATGTCTCTTATCCATCTTTACTGGGGAGTTGCTTTTGCCATTGAGGGCTTTTTGTTGTTGCTCTCATAAATTCTTTATAATAATCCCTTGAGAGAGTGATAATGCTTACAAATACTTTCTACCATTTTGTAGATAACATCTTCACTCTGTTATTTGCTGCAAAGAAGTGTTCTAGCTTGATGCAATCCCATTTGTCTAATTTGCCTTTGTTACCTGTGCTATTGAGGTCTTATCCAAGTAAATTCATGCCTTCTATTTTTGGTTCAAATTGCTCTATAGTTTTGAGACCCAAAATTTTTAACTCACTTTTAGCCGATTTCTGTATATTGGGAGAGAAAAAGGTCTAACTTCATCATTCTGTATATGAACATCCAGTTTGTCAACACTATTGTTAACTGTGTGTCCTGTTCCAATGCCCGCTCTTACAGCACCATTGTCAAAATGCAGTTGACTGTGAATCTCTGAATTTAATTCTACATTTCTTATTCTGTTCCACTGGCCTACATGTCTGTTTTTAATGCCAATACTGCAGTTTTCTGATTATTAACTTTTGTTGTATATTTGGAAATCAAGTAGTATAATACCTGCTGCTTTGTTCATTTTCCTCAAGATTGTTTCAGCTATTGAAGGAGCATTGCAGTTGCAGATGAATCTCAGGATGTTTTTTCCTAGTCTAGGATGTCATGGTGTTTTGATAAAAATTGCATTCAATCTACATATTACTCTAGTTAGTATGGATATTTTAACATTTATTCTTCTAACCCAAGAAAACAGTGTCTTTTCATTTGTGAGCATGGGTGCCATCTTCAGTTTCTTTATATTTTTATTTGTTTATTTATATTTTATGTGTGTAAGCATTTTGCTTGCACATATGTAAGTGCACCCATGTTATGCAATGCCCACAGAGGTCAGGAGAAGGTGTTGGATCCCCTAGAACTGAAATTAAGGATGGGGTTGTTAGAGGCCAGGTGGATGCTAGGAACCAAACGCAGGCCCTCTGCAAGAGCAGCCAGTGTTCTTAACCACCGAGCCAACCTCTC